CTGCCTTCCCTGAATTTGGGGGGCACCAAAGCAGCTTGGTCTCATGCCAGCCATCCTTGCAGTGGTGAAGCGGCTGCCAGAGCATGTGCAGGTGGATGACCCTGCTGCCCAGAGGAAACTGGCCAAGAAGCTGGAGAGGCAGCAGGTAGGAGGAGGACTGGGTGACAGGCTGCACACTGGGGCAGCTGTGCTGCAGAGGGCCTGGGGGGGACATGGTGGGACCAGAGCCTGCTCTCTGAAGGGCACAGGGGAACTTTGCGTGCCCTGAGCAAGTGCTGGGTGTGACCGGTGGCCCTGGAACGAGCAGAGCACAGGGTGAGCCATCACCACACTTGCCTGCAGGTACCTCTGAGGCAGGACTATGGCACCAAGGTGAACCTGTTCTCCCACCTCCACCAGTACAGCCGCAAGAAGCCACTGACGCAGCAGATGAGGTACAGGGCCTCCCCAGACCAGGGCTCTGCTCTGGCTGGCCTGGCTGCAGAATGGCTCTGCACGAGGGCTGTCATAGTCCTGCATGTGGGTTATGCCTGATGGAGTGGTGGGGGACATTTTGCTTGCTTTGGGGACTGGCAGTAGGGACAGCCCAGTATCTTTCTTATGGGGAGAGTGCAGGGCCACAGGAGAAGGGGCTGTGGGGTGAGCCTGGCTCCTCAGGTTACTGCCAGCCCCCTTCCTGGGCTGTCCCTTGGGTTGTTGGGCTGGGGCTCATAAATGTTGGGTGTTCTGGGCCGCAGAGGTGCTGACAGCTCCCTCCCCTGGTCCCTGCAGCATCCCCTCCACAGTGATCCACCCCGCAGTGATGCGCCTGGGCCTGCAGTACTCGCAGGGCATCATCAACGGCTCCAACGCCCGCTGCATCGCGCTGCTCGAGGTCTTCAAACAGGTACCTGAGCAGCCACCTGGCAGCAGGGGCTCTGTGCTGCGTGCAGGAGTGTGTTCTGTACCCTCCCTGCTGGGGCTGTGTCTGTGGTCAGTTGTCCTCAGCCTCTTCCTTTGGGTCGTGCACGGCAGGGAATTGTGTGGCGCTGCCACTGCTGTTTGTGTGCCTGGAGCAGCCCCTGCCCCTCCAGGCAGCGTGTCAGGCTGTGCAGGACGTGTGTGCCCCGACACCTGTGCCCTGAGATCACACTCCCTTTCTTCTCGTCCCAGCTGATCCGGGATTACTCCACTCCCCCCAATGAGGAGCTGTCGCGGGACCTGGTGGCCAAGCTGAAGCCACACATCAGGTGAGGGCTCCCAGTGCCAGAGCAGAGGGACCAAAGCTCCGCAGAGTGTGGTCCATTGTTCACATCTCTGGGTCGGTGTCCACCCAAACTTTGGCTGACTTTCCTAGGCTGCTGCCTTCCTGCCCACCGTCCCTCTCCCTGCCTTGGCCCTCCAGGCTGCTTTGGAGCTAAGCCCCTTTCTTGTGCAGCTTCCTGAACCAGTGCCGGCCTCTCTCAGCCAGCATGGGCAATGCCATCAAGTTCCTCAAGAAGGAGATATCGTGCCTGCCTGACACCCTGAGAGAGGATGAGGTGAGTGGCCTCGCTCCGTGGCAGGCTCCAGGCCCTGGGTGAAGGAGCTGAGCAGGGATGGGATGCAGACTCAGAACGGTGGAATTGAAAGCTTGTTACTAGGGGGAAGAGCGTGATGCCAACCTGGCTCAAATCAGGGAGCTGCTGAGAGCAAGAAAGTCTGTATGTGATGTCTCTCCCCAGGCAAAGGAGAAGCTCCAGGACGTGATCGACAAATACCTGCGAGAGAAGATTGTCCTGGCAGCTGAGGCCATCTCAAGGTCTGCCTTTGAGAAGATCAATGACCACGACGTGATCCTGGTGTATGGATGGTGAGCACGGAGCACATCCTGTGGGTAGGAGGAGGGAATGGAGCAGCGTGGGAGGGGAGGCTGTGCTGGTCCTGCACAGGGCTCAGCACTGTCCTGCCTGGTGTGAAGTTGGATTCCAAGAACCCCAGAGCTACAGCTCCCTCCACCCAGGGCACTTACAGAGAAACCAGGGCTGTTCACTGGATTTTAAACAAACTGCAACAAAGTCAAATGCCAGGAAGCAAAAATACAGCAGTTTGCATCCCAAGAAGTAGAGGTGGGGAAAAGAACCAGAGATTGGTGCAGCAGGAGTCTGGGTGTGCTGGGCAGAGCAAGGAGCAGGGGCAGGAGGCCAGTGCAGGGGAGGAGTTGGTGAGAGGCTGTGGAATGGCAGAGTCCCTTGTGCTGTCACAGACAGGGAGCTCAGTGCTGCTGCCAGGGAGGGCTGAGACCTTTCCCAGGGTGTGTCCTTGTGCGAGGACAGGGAGACATTGTGGCCTGGGAGCCATCGTGGCAGGAGGGCTCTGGAGGGGCAGCGCTCACCAGGGTGAGGGTGGGCGTTGGGGATGAGGGTGGGCATTGAGGGTGGTTATTGATGATGAGGGTGGGTGTTGAGGATGAGGGTGGGCATTGAGGGTGGTTATTGATGATGAGGGTGGTTATTGAGGGTGAGGGTGGGCGTTGGGGATGAGAGTGGGCGTTGAGGATGAGGGTGGGCGTTGGGGATGAGGGTGGGCATTGGGGATGTGGGTGGGCGTTGAGGATGAGGGTGGCCATTGAGGGTGGTTATTGAGCATGAGGGTGGG